AAGTTCATCAAAAAAGCGATGTTAATATTATTAAACTATTAATGTCTATTATTATCAGCATACCTACAGGTAAGCTTAATATTATGTTAGTATCAGAAACGCTAACGATTTATAGTACCTAAATTTTTAGGCCAGGGGCACAATTATAAGCAGTTTGGTACCTAAAGGTAGGTCAAAGATAGATGGCTTGACCTCTGAACCCTTTGAGTATTAGCCTTCGGATGTGGATGTTATTAGACTCTGTGGGTGGTTAAGTTGTAAAATCATCAATTAAGGGTTTCCTAATAAAACATTACATACCTTGTGTACTATAGAGACAAATGCAAAAGATATATATCGTATATTTAGGGTGTGGTGCATGTAAAACAAATTCTTTCATATATTAAATCTATTGTGTAGTCTTAGTATGTCGATAAATTACAATAGCCATAGAAAATATAATAGGTATAAAAGATGTTCAATTAAAAAAATGAAAATGCTAAAATCAAATTATAATAAATCGAATGTCCACATCTGGTATGCCTATAATAATGCACGACCGCATTACTATATTTGAATAGAATACACTATAGGTGGTTAGATGTCATCGGTACAATTGTACAGTATAATAATAATCTAAATCTACCAATAATAAACCATTACAGAGTTATTTTTTAAAGCCATAGACTGATAGACATACTTATGGACTCGGGATTTTTGTATATTGTTAACATGATGCAGGTATAGGTACAATCGAACATTTTGATTTATTCTTTTATCAATAAAACTTAGGTTTTAAATTCTATGTGTTTTATTATGATAAAAATCTAAATCTCATCATGTTCATATTGACTTTGTATAATAAAAAAATATAAAAATGTTTGCATTTCGTTGGAATAATATTTTTCTAAAACCTAATAATGTTAGGTATTTATAATGCGATATTTAACTTTTTTTATATATACTTACATTATACATTATAGTTGAATATGGTTCTAATTTTTTTTTTTTTTAGTATTATTATTTATCCGAATACAGTAGTTAAAAAAAATAACTTAACACTAATACTCTAAACAGTCTAAACGTAATAAAAAATAGTTTACGATTGAATAAAAACCTGACAGTTATCATGTTACGATATACGAGTATTAAATATATGGTTGTTATTTGTAAAAGAATAATATTAATGATATTTTAGATTTCTTTGATAATCACTGTAGACATACATGTGTATTGTGTATACAAGTTAACGTCATCATATACTCGTTTAACGTATTGATAATTATGTAGTATAGTATAAAATGATATTGATGTAATGATGTGTCATGTGTATGTATAATGGCTTGTTATTTGTAGTTCGTTCTGGGATCAAGTTTGTTGTGTTTATACATATTTTGTAAGTAATATGTACCAAAACCTACTTATACATAACTATAACTGTACTACTATTATGTATGTAGTTAATGCCTACAAATAGTCGGTAGATAGGTACTATAGTTGTAATTATAAATGAATGGATTGATTCGAGTCATACATTGTGTATTGTGTAGTTCTTATATTTTTTATCCATACAATTACGATAAGCGTACGGTAAAAACATATATTTATTTTATCTCGGCTAAGGAAGTTTTCTAATTCTGAGGTCAAACCGGTTTAAATACTCAGGAAAGCAAACTTTTTACTTCACCAAAAACAATCTAAGTTTATACATAACTCGGTAATAGCCTCTAATAATCATGTATTATTAATATTTACACATAAATAATTATAGATGATATAGTTGATTATTCCATTGTACATCATTTGTATACATATACATATTAAATACAACAAATTATACAAATTCAGATGTCTTGGGCCATTCTTCAGTTTTGTTACTTATTATAGTTATTAATATATTATTGTTTTATGTTCTGATAGTATAGTCTAAATGTTTGAATTCTTTATATGATTAGCATAACATAGCTACTATACGTAATGACGTACCCATAAATATGATTTGTCGTATTGTAATTATTTTCCCCGTCTTCGAGGAATTAAAATTGCAAAATATAAACATGTATGATATTAACAAAATTAAAAATAGCCAATATTATTGAAATAACATCATATTTAAAAACGAATATATTAAGCTTAAAAAATTATTATTTATAACTTATAAGGTACCTTATATTTATTATTATTATTTTTTTTTTTTTGATAAATTATTGTACTGTTTTTTTATATTAAAGAATTCTTTCATAAATTTCTGAACAATTATTGAAAGACTACAAAACTAAGATAAGAAATATATTCATTGTTTCGCTTAGAGTTTAAAATCAAAACATAAATTATACTAAATTCATATAATTCATAACATAATATTATGTCTATGCTCTAAATACAAAAACAAAATATTATAATTAATGCCGTGGATTTTTTTGTTGGCATTATTTAATTTATCAAACTTATCCACTATTGGCACTATTGTTATATTTTTCCTAAGTTATTCGCATTTCCACAATTGTCTTGAGTTTACATATTTTATTCTTTATTTGTATCAAACAATCTATACAAGTTTTGTACAATAAATTTAATTGATAACGTAAAAGATATGGCAGAAAGTCTTGTAGATAAGAGAAGCTGCTTACTCTAGCCACTTATGGCATCTTATATTTCAAAAATATATATAAGACTACATTTTAGTAATAGTAGCAGCAAGAGTAAACGTCCTCCTAACTTACGTACCTACACTACCTATATGTGTACCGCCTATGTATATATAACCATTAACCATTAACCATTAACCAGTACTAGATTTAAGGTGATGGGCCGAGGTGAGATGGGTTAGTACTAGATAACTCACTTTACATTGGCCTGGGTAATTATACAGCAGTATTAATTAGCAATTCTAATAATCATCAAAACATATAATATTATATATTTTTAATATATAATTTTTTCATACATTTTATTATTATTTCTTTATTGACGGAAAAACTCCATAATATATTGTGTGAAGTACCTAAAATTACTTCTTATGTTCCTATCAAATGCAAAAATGAGATGTGTATGCGTATTGTGTATGCATGCAATTATATTACCCCCTCTCCTTGAGATTTTTCAAGAACCGCCTCCCGCTATATATATATACTATGTGAATATATAAGCCATGTTTTTAGGTCATACTTTTCAGCGATTTCGTAAATTAAACAAACATGGTCAAATAACGCAAATAGATGACTGAAAAATTAGCATTTTATTATTTTTTTTATTTATAACATTTATATTATGCAGAATAAATAATTTTATGTAAGTACGATAAATATAATATGCATTTATACGCGATTAATCAAGGATTTCATAAATAGTTCATTTAATCATTATTTTAATATTTTAGAAGTCCAATTACTATATAGGTTTCAATGCACATTTTATTTAAAATTTAAAAACGTGCAGTTGATTAATTCATGTTAATATAGTGTAACTTACAATAATAATCATTGTTGATTTTTATTACGGGCATGCTCCATAGCTTTATGTCATTATTTGTTAACAACTTAATAAATTAATAATTATATTATTAGTACTGAACTTATATATTATAATTAAAATTGTAATTGCATTTGTATTTGAGTTTGTAATCTATAAAATTTAGGTACATATTTAAATTTTCGAATATCAATATATATTTTTAATTACATTTTTTAAATTTAAAAAAAAAAACAGTAGGTATCTCTTGTTAAGTATAATTAATAATTGTATGAAATTTGTATTTAGGGTTTTAAATTAAAACAGTAAAATTTAAATTTAACCAAATATGCATCAAATGACATAAACTTAATTCTAATTTGTATCACGTCGTTCAAAAGCATGTATACTTTAAGTTGAAATAAAGAAAAAACTTAAGTACCTGATAGAGTTCAGTGGCGCACTAAGGTTTGACTAAAAGAGGCAAAAGTGCGGTGATTAAAATTATTTTAATACGACTTCAATGGAGATTCCTCTCCAGTGAAAATTTTTTTGTCATTTCGCCAAAATGAATTAATTTTTTGAAATTTTTTTTAATAATAATAATATTCATTTTTACACGAACAATTTATCGTGACTAGCGGTTGTGTAGTGTAATATTTAAGCATTATTAGAGAATAGAAATCTGAACTTTATAATACTAAATTACCAGCTATATTATATTGTATGCCTGTAATATTAAATTATTAACCCACTTACATGAATGCCGACTAACGCGGTGTACGACTTTAGATCGTTTACAAAATGTAGCCATGTAAGAAGAAAGTACACCTCATTTATTTATGTGTACCTAGGTACGCTACAAGTTCCGGCGTGCTTACGGTAAAAATGTAAAATGCATAATATATGTAGCAATACGCATAATAATAAATAGATATCAAAAAATTCATAGCAACAGTTACCGCTGCAGCAATGGCGCAAACACACTAATAATAATTAGACTTAGTGGTAAGTGGATGATTTATCTAAGACCCGCAGGTACACCTGCACAATGATATTATTATTATGGCGTACAGGAGCCAGGAGGTAGGTAGTAGGTACACAAACGCACGCACGCGACTGCCAAGCGTACGCGTTGAAACGAGAGACGGTGATGACCGCGACCGTGTGTCCAAAACAAGGCGAGCGTCACACGATGACCGATGTGAATATTTAAGAATAATAATAATAATTTTATTCTAAAAATACTGTGTTTGTCATGTTATAGCGCTAAGAACAAAACTGGTTTCTCGCGATAGACCCCGCGACACAGTCGCGTATTATCATTATTATTATTATTATACAATAATATCACAGTCGTGTTGATGAATAATAATTGTAATAATAATAATAATGATTATTATTATTATTATTATTATTATTGTAAAAATGTAATTACACGAGGCGCCCGGGACGCGTAAGTTGCGCGTATACGCGGAGAAGGGGCCAAGGATCGAGAAAAAAACGCGCGCGCGTCGCGTTCGCAACCGAGCGGTGGCGACTGGCGACGGCGGCCCGCGGAGAGCAGCAACACGCAGTCCGGCGAGTACCGCGCGGCGCTGTAGATTCGATTTTCGACCGGTGATCGTGACGGACGCTCTACAATAATAATTTATCATTATAATAATAATACTGTATCAATAACAGTTGTGCACCTTTTCGTTACCTTTTTCTCCTCACTGTTTTCGCTACGTCTTGTTGTATTTAATATTGTTTTACATCCGTTCGGTTTTTTTTTCATTTTCATTAAACACGCCAATACTCAATTCGTTGTTTTTATCATCGTCTATGTAATTATATGTATATACGCTCGTATATTATAATAATTAAATTAATTTAATGTCGCGATTGGTTTTCTATCGGTTTTTAAGATTTTATATACGCGCGTCGCGCCAAACGTAACAACAACAAATCGCAATACAATTATTTGTTATTATACATTACATATTACGTACATCGTCCGTTTGTGCCTATTACCTGTCTGCGATATATAATCATCCGCGTGTATAAAATATTATACATACAACCGTCGTAAATCGCAATATTTTAATATAATATAATATTATATTTAAATATCATATTATTGTGTCACGGCGTTCCGCGGCAGGCATGGATTGCAAGAGTTTAACGATAAGAAAAGCTTCGCGCACGTTGCAGTAGATAGGTACGTTCCTCCCGTTATGATTTAATTGTATCATTTATGTATATTATTATTATTATTATATTAAAGCGAGAAAAACGCGTTATATTCGTCACGCAATCTAAATATTAGATTTTTAGTTTTATATAATATTATGTACCGGACACCGGTGCATAACGATAATAATGTCAATGTCATAATTCATAAGTCATAACATAAGTCCGTCCCTGCAACAATACCAGTACGTTAGTCGAGCGTTTATATAGATGTAAGTACTTACTACTTCTGTAGTTGTCTGTTAATTTTATTATAATTTTGTTTTTTTTTTTTTACTAAAACACGCCTATCTCCGTATCTTCTATCTATATACTTTTTATTTTATAAAATAAATTCTCGTGATTGATAGTGCTTTCGCAACAAGTGTCTGCGCACGTTAACTTGTATACATCTCGCACACGAATATCACACCAGTATATACCACAAATAAGTGGGTATACTTACACGAGGCCGTTGGCTTTACTACAAAATATCAACATTTAAGTTTGCTAATTTTTCTCTTACATTTGGTTCTATATGTAAGTACGTACTACATACCTAATCAATTTCTCGTCAAATCAAAATTATAATTTACTTTAATCAGTTTAATCATAAACCACTACACTCAAGGTCAAATTATATCATTTTATAGGCATATGCAAAACATCAGTGGTAAAAACTTTTCAGATTATTACAAATATTGATTACATAATACTACAATAAAAAATCACTAATAGAAAGTCGTACAATATATTATTTTGCTTAACTGTTTACATAAAAATAAATGTCATCAATTATGACACCCTATAAGTATAGATTATAACTAAAATGCGTATTTATATCCATTTTAAAACGATTTTTTTACATTATTTTGTTCGTATATACCTACCACCTAGCTACTTTTACTTTGGTGTATTTTGTTTTTTTTTTCATTATTATTATTATCAACGCCCCCAGACTTAGAATAACCTTGATATGCATTGATATTGACAAACTATAATTTCAAAGTATAGCTTGATAAAGTAGATATTATACGTATAATATTATAATTTAATTAATTTATATCATGTCAATAAAAAGCTATTTAATCAGAGGCTAAAATACCTGAATTTTCGTATTGCACATTGTATATGAAAGATACTGGTATATATTTCCTATAATAATAGTCTATTTTAAACTTTAATACACTTTAAATTATAAACTAGTATACTATATTATATACTTATAAGTTATAATATTTAATATTATAATAATTTATGTGATCCTAATTATTAAAAATACAAAAGTACATATTTTCTGATTCCAGATTAAATATAGAATTAAAAATTAATAGTGTATATTATGTATCTATTAAGTTTTAACACAAATACATATCATATTTCGGTATAATAAGATTTAAATATTTAATATATAATTTTTTTATACGTATACTATTTATAATCTAAAATAGGTATTATTGAAAAATATACAAATGCAAAATAAAAAAGTGAAATTAGTTTTATTAAATTCAGTTTTTTTTTGTACTTTTCAATAAAAAAATTAAATATAAAACCCACACATTTGAATCGAAAAAAAATGAGGAATAAATTTAACTAACAAATATAAATTGGTAACTATAACAAATTCTTATCAACTTTTTTATGTAGCACATAGTGAGAGAAATTTAATACTCAAAGTAGTCAACTTGTTAAATTTGCGTATAAAGCATTTTTATTTTTATAGTTCATAAATTTTTTTATTTAAAATCATTAATTCTAAATTATTTTAAAATCTTTCCTAAAATGTTTGTGTGCTGTACTGAATAATTGAATACAATTGTACTATTTTAAATAGAATTTATTTAATTGTCTTAATTCGTGTAATTTAAAACAATGTCATATCTTTATAACAGATAGTATAACACATGAATCAACAAATGACCTATGCAATTTAAAATAAAAAGTGCATAACAAAAGTAAACACGAAATGAATCATAGAATAAGAAATTGGCGTTAAAATATAGCCAATGTTTTAATCCAGTGGCTTATAAGAGGATGCTTGCAAGTTTGATTAAAATTACTTCAGACATAAAAAAAATATTATTCGTGTATTTAATATAGAAGAAGTTTAAATATAAATGTACAATATTTTAGTGATTTACTCAAATAAAATATTGATTATGTAATAATTTAAATTCAAATTAGGGGAAAAAATTGCAATTAAATAAAAAAAAAAAAACAAAATTTCTTATAAAATGTTTAAAATTACCTTATGTAAAAATTTAAAAATTGGATTAATTATCGAAATTATGTTATTTTAATACTTAACAATTTGTAAAATTTACATATCTACATAATATTGATCATGATATGTCGTACGACGCATATACTCGTACAAATAAAAATATATAAATTAATGTATTTATATAATATGCTATACCCGTATGTAACTTTATTTATTAGCTAATACGTCATAATTGCTATTTGACTAAAAATAAGATTTTAAAAATATTATGACTAAATTACTAAAACAAGTGAAATCAAATTAGGTATTTATAGTTTGGTGTGTTTTTATTGGCGGCATACATTTAGACCTGTTGCGTACGTGCTTTCCAAGCACCTAAATAAGTGAAATTTAAAAAGATGTATAAAAATAATCAAATAAATAATATCTACTCACTTTTGGCCAACAATATGATTTGTGAACCTCTGATTTTTTTTGTTTACGTGTTTTATTTTTAAATAACCACATTTATCATATTGTATGTGATACAATGATACGTAAAATAATCACGTGACAATGGAATTTAATATTAATTATATCAAATTGTTTGTTTTGAAATAACACGAGATTGAGGTACAAGAATGCAAATATTTAAAGAAAAAACATGTACAGTAGTGTAAAAAATGGTTAGGTATTAAATAAAATAAAACTTAATCAATATCTTTATCTTATATTAGTGTTAAAGCAAGATATAGTTATTTCATTTAGTCCGTATATGGAATTGAATAACTCCCATTATAAAAAAATATGTATATAAATAATATTCTCTGGATTCTTTGATTCTTGATTGTATTCAAGTTTGTAATTAAATAATATATGTTAGATACTCGAGATACCCTAAAAATTAACTACAAATTATAGTATTGTGTTTGAACAATAGTTTAGGTTGAACATAATATCAATGAACATAATATATAACTATTAATTCAGTCACTAAAGAATAAAATATTAGGTTTAGGTATATTTTACATTGTTTATATACTACATAATATAGTAATATAGTTCTAAGTTCTTTGACCTTAAAGTTAAATTTATTTTTTAAATAGTTAAATAATTTTTACGTTAGAACTATATAAATTATTACAGTAAAAATGAAAAAAAAAAAACGTGATTATAATTCTGATCTTGAGGTTATCAAATAAAAAAATTGATTTTAAAACTAAAACATTATTTATTATACCAGTAACGGCAGTAACCCATATCATTATTCATAATATTGTATTATTATTTAATTATTTAAACTGAAAGCAAAATTCACGAGCATAACAATAATAGCATTTATAGTACCTATTTTATTTTATAAATTAAAATTATGTATGTAAAAACAATATGCGATATCCATATTTATTATGCAATACTATTATAACATTTGAAATAAATTATTTTAAATTATTAATATTATTAATAAATTGATTATTAAAAAAAAACATTGTTTTGATGATTATCCCTAGATTATTTCTTTAGTTGTGTTCACTGAAAGTGGCCAATAATGGAGTAAAACTTTTTATGGGTCATCGTCATCATAATGTTATAAGAAATTTGGCAATCATCTTCTTATTATGTTAAAAAATTTTTATGTAGGTCATCAACGATAAACCTATTTTTTTTTTTGCGTTGGGAAATGAAAAAAACAAGTAGTAACATTATGAACAATTAATATTTTTTTAATTAGATAACAAAGTCTTTATAATACAACACTTATTCAAAATTTAAAAATTAAACCCATAAAATATATTTTAGATTCTGAATAGATCGAAAAATGTAAATATAGCAATAATGCAACAAAACATATTTAATTTTAAGTCGTTTTAAAGTAGGAATAGTGCTTCAAAATGTTTACTTAAATTGTGTTGATGTGATATCAACGTGTTTTATATTTTAATATTTTTTGGGTTATAACTTATAACGGTAATATACTGTTATAACTTAAAGTAATTATTATATAACTGGTATTTTTCCTGTTTTTCTTGTTTTTGTTTAATAAAATCTATATTCTTAAGATCTTAAGACCTTTAAACTTAATGAAACTGATAGATCCTTTATTATTTATTACAAATTACTAGGTACTAGGTAAAAATGTACTAAGACTTTTTTTAATAATTAGTAAATTATTAACAAAATACAGAGGAAAATCGGGAATATTTATTCAACTTTTTCGACAATTTTTTTTATTGTAATTCATAAATAAAAAAAACTACAGAGCTTTAAGGTTTTCACCAATTATTTATATTACCATTATACATTTTTATAGATGAATATAATACAATTTTCTAACCAATTTAGCTTGTTTTAAGCCATTTAGAGACTCTTGAAGTCAGAAATTTGAAAAATTTAAATATTTAAATGAGCAATAACGATTTATCCTCAAAAATTTTTAATTATTTTATTGTTATTTAAAAAAAAATACTAACTGTGGATATTTGAAATATTTCTATGTTATGATACGTCAGTATTAATTTATAAATTATAAGTTTATAATAACTATAATATACTAATAAATAATAATAAAAAAAAAGGTATGTTATGTTTTTGGTAAAAGCTAGTTTAATCCACCGTATCAATAATAGTAGGTAATATAAATCCTTAGAAATAGAAGCTAACACAGTATCCGTTTACTATCTTTATCGTTTATAATATAATAATATAAATATGATATATAATTGTACATGATTTATCATTGAATTCAAATGTAATAGATTCATTATAGTGACCTAATCAATGAACTT